GAGGGCGGGGGGCAAAGGCGCGCGAAGGGCTGCGGCGGCGGCGGCGAATGAGCCGGCCGTGCGAAGGAACGCGGAAAGAGGGGTTGGGGGAGGGGGAGCCGAAGGGCGCGGATGGCTGAACCAGAGCGGCCTCCCCCTCCCCGAGGTCGGGGGCGTCTTAGCCGCTGAGGATTGGAGCTGCAGTCTCTGCAGCTGGGTTTCCCACTCTGACAGGCGCCATTTTACCGCCCCAGGGGATCCCTCCTCCCTTCTTCCCCCCTCCTCTTCCCCTCTGACACTGCTTCCGGTGGTGACGTGTATTCGCTTCACCGGGAGTAATGTTCCCCCGCTACTCGGTCTCTGCGGGTGGGGCTAAAGAAAGCGGAGTGTGCCCCGAACAAGGCCACAGTACCGCGCACGCGCGGAAGGTGGCGGTGGGGCGGGGCCTAGGGCGAAGCAGGCCCCGCCTGGAATAGGGTGAACGTGACGGAGTGACATCACTTGCCCCCGAGTTCCGGCCGTCAGACGGGCTCGTGCAGCCACTTCCCCCTCCCCTCGCAAACCGCGCTTCCCGCCCTAGTCTCGATAAAAATGTAGAGAGGAGCGTCGTCCGTACATCTTTGCGCCAGGGGTCGGGAGGGGCCCGTCCGCGTGAGCACCCCTGGGAATATTGAACATTAATCACCTCTCATTCCAGACTGCCAGGTTTTAGTAGTGGGAGGAATAATGGATGTCCCGCCCCTTTCACCTGCAGGGGGCGGGACAGCGGGCCGTGACGCTATCAGAGGGCGTCGGAGAAGGAACCAGACGCCAGTAGGAGATGTTGGAGTCGCTGTTGGCTGTTGGCGGCCTGTTGCTGCTTCGGGGTAAGGGTCACAAGCACAAGGGCTTCGGAGTCGGGCTCAAGAGACTGAAATGGGAAGGAAGGACCATGGGTCACAGGCTCGGGATGGTGGTTCGACAGGTTCGTGTAGGCAGAAAAGTTAGTGTTCTCACGCTGTTTATCCGTCCCTCGCTCTCCTCAGACTCTGTGCAGTGGGAGGGGCGTAGTCTCTTGAAGGCACTTATCAAGAAATCTGTATTGTGGTGAGTATTCTGCAGCGTCTCCCCGTCCTACCCGGGAAGGAAGTCGGGCCCCACTCTTTGACACTCTGCCTCATGTGCTTCAGTGGGGAGCAGGTCCACATCCTGGGGTGTGAAGTGAGCGAGGAAGAGTTTCGTGAAGGTTTTGACGCCAGTATCAACAGCCAGTAAGTACAACTTGGAAGAGAGTTAATTGAATGTGGAACCTCTATTGCTAAGGAACTCTTACAGCAACAAGCGCAGAACCTGACATGTAGTAGCAGCTACTTATTCGTTGAATTAATGGATATGCATCTTTCAGGAGGCGGGAATCAGTAAGAGGAATGATAAGGAATGGTTAGTATCTGGAGAATCAAAGCAGAGACTACAGAAGTTAAGAGAGAGAGAGAGGGTATTAAAAGGCCAACAGTTCAGTTTAGCACTAGCAGCTGTACTGGAGAAGAGGAATAAATATGTTGTGTTTTGAGTTATTTGGAATCTGGTTATGCTTAATTCAGACATGGATTCCAAACTTGTATCAACGGTTAACTGCAAGCTACTGAGGGACTTGTCCTACAAGCAGAGAACAGCATATGCAAAGTTAGGGAAGTATAGGAAGGCAGAAGAGCTTCCTGGAAGGTGGAAGAGCTTCCTGAGATCAGACAGATAAAAAGATACCAGATAGTAAAAGGTCTTACAGAGTAGAGTACAAAAAGGAGTTTAGATATTATTGTAAAGGCAATGGAGTGTCATTTGAAAATTGGGAGAGGAGTGATAACATTCCTGTTAGATTCAGTGACCATGATATGGAGAATGGGTTGGCAGCGAGCAGCTGGAAGATAGGTAGACCAACTAGGAAGACTATTGCAGTAATCCAGGTTCACTTCTGATGGAAATGTACTGAGCACCAATTGTGAACCAGATGCTGTGCTAAGCACTGGAGATACAGTAGTGAATGAAGCAAACATGATCCTTGTTATTAGGAATCTTAGAGAATAATGGTAGGAGGTGACAGAGGCCTGACTTAAGGGAGTGGCAGCAGGGATGGAGAGTTTGGAACAAATATAAAAGAACTTTAGTAGGTAGAGTTCCAAGACTTTTAGACTGATGTGGGGTAGCATCCAGATCAGGAGGTCCCTGAACTCACCTATGTTGCTTGGTTAAGAAAGACTATTTCTTGGTCTGGGTAGCTGCATGGCTAATAACAGTAGGTTACATCTGTCTGTTGAGCCCTATTTTTGTGTCAGCCATTGTGATAGAGGTGATGCTATATGTTAAGACGGCATTTACAAGAGAAGCAAGTTATGCCACATGAAGCATTCCTGGGGTTTCTAGCCCACTCCAGTCTCCCTTTCCTGAATCGATATTTTATCTGTAGTTAGTAGCACATGATTTAATTCTTGACCTTCTCTAAGCTGTTCTACAGACTGGAACCTCATCTCATGTTTTTCTCTTTATCCATCCAAAGAATGATACACTTTAGCCACCATTCATGAAATATTTGATAGTGATGGTAGCTAACATTTATCAAGTATTTAATCTGTCTGAAGCACTGTGCTAAATATCAACTTGGTATCCCTATTTCACAAATAAAGAAACTGACTCAGAGAGATTAAGTAATTTTATCAGTTAGGTGATCTTGGGCAAGTAACATATCTAGACTGGAATTCAGGGCTATCTGATGCCAAAGTCTGTATTTTCAGTCACTATATTCTACCTCTCAGTAATTAACCTTTCACTGGTTTTAGGATGTTAGTGAAAATCAAGAAAACAGCCATAAAGATCACAGGATGAATTTCAAAATTAGGGGGATAGAACAGTATTATGTTGCGTTTTATTTTCCTTTTGCAGGCTGGTTTACTATGACCTCTACAGAGACCCCCTCAACTGGTCAAAGACTGGGGAAGCCTTTCCTGAGGGGCCCCTGGGAGTCTTGAGAGCCATGTGCAGGAAGACAGATCCTCGTCCTGTCACCGTTGCTCTTGATTCACTTAGCTGGCTGCTGCTTCACCTTCCCTGCACCACACTCTGCCAGACACTGCATGCTCTAAACCGTCAGGACTCAAGCCCTGGTGAGACTCCCCCCTGAAGCCCATCTCCTCATACATCTCCCCCTGCCAAAGAACGTGCCCTTTTCCAAGCTAAGAAAAAACATATCAGGGATGTCCAAGTGGACCTTCATCCATCTTTTCAACCTTAATACTAGTTCTTGACTTTTCTGTAATGCCACCTAACAATCACTTTTTTCTTTTCCAAGTTCTTTTTTACGCATCCATTTCATTCATTCATTCAACAAATATTAAACACATATAGTGTGTCAGATACAATTTTATTTATTTTTTTATTATTTATGCCTACAGCACCTGGTCTTCCTAGGTGGTCTCCCATCCAAGTACTAACCAGGCCTGACCCTGCTTAGCTTCCAAGATTAGACATCGGGCTTGTTCGGGGTGGCATGGCCGTAGACCATGGACTGTGACTCCACTGGGGCGTGAACCCAGGACCTTGTGCGTGTAAAGCAGACGTGCTAACTGCTACACTACAGAACCACGTCCCAGATAAAATTTTAGATAATGAGAAAATAAAGACTAACTCTAGTCAGGTCCTTGTTTCCAGGAGCTCAAAGTCCCATAAAGGATACAGACAAACAAGCAGCTACAAGATATTCTGAAACGGGCCATGATAAAAGAGCGTATACAAAGTACCTTAAGGAAGGAACTGTCTTGGAGAGCAAAGGGGTCACCCAGGCAAACTTGGCTAGGCCAGCAGTACTAGGACTAGCCCTGAAGTATACTGTGAATACTGGCAGAGGTTTTGGAGTCAGATACCCAGCTTAGTATTAAGGTACTTGATCTCTCAGTGTTTTAGTTCCCTTTGTAAAAGTGTGGAATTGCTGTTTTTGTAGTTCAGATATGGTCAAATGTCAAATATGCACAATTTTGTATCGTTCAACCTAAAAATGCCGACTTTAGCAAAAGAGTTTAGTGCAGTGCCTGACACTCTGTAAAAGCTCCCCAAAGGGGAGGGATCAAAGACACTGACTGGGATTTTGGCATGTTCTAAAATCTCCAGGTTAATTCGGTACCTAAGAGATGAAGCAGGAACCAAAGATGAAAGTGTCAATTCCATCTTGAAGGCCATGAGTAGCTCCTGAGGATTATAGAGTGGTTCCTTGATCAGATTTACGTTGAAATAAGAAAGTACATTAAAGTACATGAAAGAGGCTCAAAGTAGGGTCATAAAACTGGCCAAAGTCAGTCAGGATTGTTAACAGCTGTGATGGAATGTGGGTCTCTTTTCCTCCTCACTATTTGATCCCAGGCTTTCACCCTGAATGTTATCTATTGCCCTTTATGCCCTACGTTTCGTGTCCCTCCCCAGGTGACAGCTTCCCAGTAGAGCAGGTACGTGTGCTAGGCCTGCTACATGAAGAGCTTCATGGCCCAGGCCCCGTGGGAGCATTGAGCAGCCTTGCTCAGACAGAGGTGACTCTGAGCGGTACAGCGGGCCAGGCCTCAGCTCACATCCTCTATCGGAGGCCCCAACAGCACCCAACCCATAAGGTGAGAAGCACCCAGAGACTAGAGTTGGGGGTCAGACAAAGAGAAAGAGCAATAAAAAAGCTGATGTGATGAACACTTTTCTGTGCTTTCATCATTTCATTATTTCCCTCATTTAATCTTCATAGCTAACCTTGTAAGGTAGAGTATTTTATCCTCATTTTTGCAACCTAGGAAACTTGAACCCTGTGAACTTAACCAATGAAAAACACTGCCTTCCAGGAAATGGAAAAGGAGGAAAGTAGTTACTAGGAGAGAGAAGGAACAAGTCCATATAGAGAGGTTTGAAGGAGGGGTAAGAAGAGGTAGACAGCAAGAGCTGAAAGCAGCCAGTTACATAGGTGATTGGGGGCTGGAGGTGTTAGGTTTTTAGTTCTCTCTGGTTCTGTAAGATGGGAAAAAACTTTACTACTCTTCTTTTTTTTCCCCCCAGACTCAGTGGTTCTCCATTCTGCCTGACTTCAGTCTGGATCTCCAAGGAGGTCCTCCTCTAGCTTCCCAGCCCCACCCACATCCTCACACACTCCAGGTATCTAAAAGTGCCAGGGCCACAACGAGGGACAAGTTGGGGTCTGCCAAAAATAAAAACTGCTGAGGTTGGGGGTGGGGTTAGCGATTCCAGGGATGGGGCAGAGTGGCAGCATCCTTTGTACCTACAGGTGGATCCCACAACTCATTTGACCTTTAACCTTCACCTGTCCAAAAAAGAGAAAGAAGCCAAAGATAGCCTGACCCTGCCATTCCAGTTCAGCTCTGAAAAGTAAGGTTGGGGCCTGTCTGCCCAGATTCCTGAGTAGAGCCTAGCATCTGAGCCTGAGAGGTGGGGTGACAACAGGTTATTGATTAACCTTTCAGGCTTTATAGGGTCTGAAGTCCATCTCCGGAGCCAGGTCTGGGGAGTGGTTCTCTATCCACCCATACCCCAACAATGGCAAAGGGCCTTTGTCTCTTTTCTCTCCATTTGAGCCTTGGGTCTCAGCTCCAGAGTTGTCCTCGGAGCAATCTGGGCCTAGGCTGAGTCAGACCAGACCCTGGGGAGTGGCCCTATCTTTAGGCATTGGTGCTAGGAGGAAAAGAAGCTAGATGGAGAGGGCAGAGGAAGGTTAATAAGGATTTAATAGATGCCTGTTCTGTTTCCAGTGTGTGGGTGGATGAAGCAAGACTGGCAGAATCCTTGCCCTCAAGTGGCTTAGAACTTAGAGTATTAGGACAGTTGTATAAGAGTATCTATTCCAGTACCAAATGGTGCTTCAGTACTAACTACCCCAGATCAGAGAAAGGGACTTAAACCAAGAAAACATGGAAGACAAAGAGAATCACATTCACCAAATAGAAGGTATCCAGACAGTAACCTTGTTATCCTACTCACCAGCACCAATTCTCCCCTTCTCTTTCCTCAGACAGCAGGCTCTGCTGTGTCCTGGTTTGGGCCAGGCTACCAGCTACATCTTTTACGAACCAGATGTTTATGATGACCTGGACCAAGAGGACCCAGATGATGACCTAGATATTTGACTAGCCATTAAATTTAACTAGACTGTGTTTGGAGGGTTGTGGGGAGACCTTGGATCCATAACCATCTTTCTATTGTTCCCATTGACCTAGCCCTGTCTCTGCCCCATTTTTGTTCCCATTGTCTGTGGAGGCCCTGCCCTATGACCCATGAGCCAGGGAGTATCACCTAATCAGGACAAAAATGAGATGGGGGTGAAGGGGAAGGTGAGAGACTGGGAAACACCTCCCCTAAGCCTAATAAAGTATTTTTTATTAAAAAAGAAACTCTAGTAGCTATTTAAGCAAGAGTTGGGAGTGGAAGGGACTGGAGGGTGGGCATGAATGAGGATGACCAAGCACCTAAGTCTTTTTAAGTCAGTAGTCAGTTTGGGGACTTGAATGACAATGAAATGGTGAAACAGGGATGGACTGCCATGCTATTGGTGCTCAGTAAGTGTATTTTTAGCTAACAGGTATACTTAAGGCTCCTTAAAGGGGTCTGGGTAGGAAGAAAGCAGGCCCTGAAGGAGAAAAAAAGCCTACTTTCCAAAACATACTTTTTATTACTGTACAAAAAGCACACCCACTCTTTGTCTCCTCCCCCCCCCACCCCCCCCAGGGAACTGTACATGGTGTGCAGGACTAGAGTGACTGAAGGTTTCTGCTCCACACCCTGCCCACAAGCTGAGCTCTGCCCCAGGTCCTTTCAGGTGTCAGAACTCATGGACCGCCAGGCTGGGGCAAGGGGGTCCCTGCTCACACATACTCCTTGGCAGAGTTGGGCTTAGGGTAGGAGCGGGGTGCACGGTATCCAGCTTTGCTCTCACTCCCAGGACAAGAGCAAGAGAGCAGTGCACCTCCCAGGAGGGCCAGAGCAGACCCTGCCCAGCCAATGAAGATAGCAGGACCAAACTCGTACCTGTGGAGAAAGGGGATTGGGGTCAAAAACCCTGGCCTGCCTCTCCCTTCCCCAGGACCCCATGTCCCCTTGGGAAGCAGGGCTGCCATACTTACTTAATATTCGTGGGGACCAAAGGGTTATAAAAGTCTGTGACAATCTTGTGGCCATACCAGGAGCAAGCTATCAAAGCAGCAAGACCTAGAGAGAGAATGAGGATTCAGATACCGTGAATCAGCACCTTGTCCACACTTGCTCCTCCATGATAGGAAAGAAGAGAGCCCTTGAGTCCGCCTTAAACTGGTGACTCACCTGCCACAATGAAAATGATGCCTCCAGTCATAGCTATACGGGCCTTCTTCACTTTGTCGTCTCCCCCACAGCGTGTACACTTCATGCCTATTGTGGCCACGAACATGGCCAGGAAGCCGAGCACCAGGGATACCACCATTAGGGCTCGAGTGGCCTGAATGGCCGCTGCAGGGAAGGGGCAAACATTGTCGTCATTGCTTTAAGTGCAGACGGCCTGTGCACGACTGCAGCCTTCGAGCTGCCCGCCGTGCCCACTAACTAGCGGCCGCTGGACCCCGCCGCCGGCCTCCATCCCACACACCCCCACCCCCGGGGTGTCAAGTCCCGGGCGGGAGCAGGGTGGATCCCGCACCCTCCCGAGTCCGCGGCCTTCCAGCTCCGCCCCGCCCTCTCTCGGCTCTCGGACCCGCCCGGGGCGCCCGGGTTTCGATGAAACTGCCCCGGGTAGGGGGAAGGGTGGAAGGAGACAACGAAGAAAAGCGGAGGTAGCGGCCGGAGACCCTAGCGGGCCGCAGATGACGGCGCGTCCCAGCTCTGACCCCACTATCGAGGTCATGGGGTTTGTGGCTTCGGCTAATCGGCCGATAAGATTAGAGGCCGCAGGCGGCGGCCCACTTCTGACGAAGCGCAAGGATCCTCGGCCCTCTGTCCGACCCCGCGGCCTCGGTCCCGCGCCAACTTTTGTCTGAGAAAAGGGCGGGAGCAGCGGAGGCTGTTGCCTGCTCAGACCGGTGGGGGAGGGGAGACCCCGGCCCAGGACCCGGCCTCCCAGAGAAGCTGTGGGCAGAAGAAGAGCGCAGCTGGCCGGGGTGCGAGCTCACGTGCAGCCACCGGAACCCTGGCCCGCTCCGGCCAGCACTACCGCCCCAAACTGGCCGCTTCTGCTCCCTTCTCATCCCGCCGGCTCCCCGGAAACCAAGGACGTCCGGCTCTGCCCCAGCACCCAACCCCATGACCTCGGCCCTGGGCGTGTCGGCCCCGTCGGCCCCGCGGCCTTACCCGGCAGGGCGAGCACCGAGTCGTACATCTTGCAGCTCATCATGCCCGTGCTCTGCGTGACGCAGTCCATCCACAACCCCTTGTACATGGCCTGGGCCGTGATGATGTTGTCGCCCGCGTACGAACTCATCTGCCACTGCGGAATGGCGGTGCACGCCACCAGGCCCACCCAGCCCAGCAAGGCCATGGAAAAGCCCAGCAGCTGCAGGCCCGAATTGGCCATTTCCGCCCTCAGAAAAGACTGGGGGCGCCGGGCGGGGGCCTCTGCAACAAAACAAACAAACCTTGAGGGGAAACCCCACAAAAGACAACTTGAGTGGAGTTATAAGTCGCCCAAAGAGTCAAAAAAGGTTTTGGTCGACTGACTCCAAATTTCGTATCACCCGAAGTAAACACAAATCGACCCTCTGGCGAGTCAAGGGTCTTACAGCAGAGGAAACAGGCTACGCCCGGAGGACTGGTGGCCAACAAAGGAGATCCGTGAAGGCCGGGCGGTTTCCTCCGGTGCTCTTAGTGACCCTACCCAAACAAAAGGTAGACGGGCCGTATGAGAGCGGTCCTGGGTGCTGGAAGGCCCCAAAGTACTCTGAGCTGTCGGCCCGAGGCTGCGGTGCGAGAGACAGGTAGTGCGGGAAACCTCAGCGGTGTGCGGGCAGGTGTAAGCGGACAGGTGCGGCGCACCTGAGTATATGTAGGGCGTCGGGGGCGCGTCCCCGCAGGCACTGGGAGCGCGGGGGGAGGGGCGGGACCGGAGGGGCGGCGGAGAGTGACCTGACGTCACCGAAGGGACATTCACCTGGGCCGGAAGTCCCAGCCCCCACCCCTCCTAGCCCAGGTGAAGAGGAAGAAACCTGAGCACCAGGGTCACGCCCCTTTACTTGCCCGGCTTGGACTGCAGGTGGGGAGGAAGCAGAAGCTTCTCCCAAGTCCCATGCTCACAGTCAGTCCCTCTGGACCGGACTTTGCTCAGGCATCAGGATGCCACTTTCCCTCTCCTCAACAGGTGCGTCAGGGACGCTGCAGAGCCAGACGGGGGGGGACGCCCCTGACCAACCTTCGCTCAGCCTTTTCCCCCTAGGCGCTCATTGTCCCGCCCTACTTTACTCCCACTCTCTGCTCTTCTCCTTTTTCTTAAGTCTTTGATCCTCGCGGATCCCACCGTCAGGGGCCCTTGGTTCCAATCCCTCAGAACTCCCTCTTGAGCAGCCTCCACTCTCACAGCCACGGCTCCCGCACCTCCCCGCCCCACCGCCTCTGTCGGTCGCTCTTGTACCGTGCTCTCCAACGGACACCGGCTTCCAGGCATGGGCCCCCATCCTCTTGGCCCCCCATTCATATCCTTCACATTACTTAATGCCTGGGCCCTTTGTACTCCAACTCCCGGCGGTCACTGTCCCCTCCCTCATTAAGGCTCCTTGTAGCAGAAGAAAGAAACCACTGAGACCAGAAGCCAGCTGAGGGTGGGGAGCAGAGAAAGGCATCTGTCAGAGCCTTAGCCACACCCCTCATTCCCTCCCTGGATTCTTTCCAAACTTGTCCTTTCCCTTCTCTCCACTCCCCCCAGCCATGCATACATTTCTTTCTTTGATGCTGAGCCTGGACCTGCCTATTTGCTCTCCCATTCAGCCCTCCCTCACATCTGGCTCTAATGTGACCTTTGAGTCTGCCCTCAGACTCCCACCTCACCTTCAGGTTTCTTCTCTCATTCTCCCCAAACTATTGCCCCATCTTTTTTCTGGATATCTCTTCCCAGCATCCCCGATTCACTCATTCTTCCCTTATCTTTTATCATCTCCCCCTTCTTGCCTTTTCCACTTCCTATTTCATTCCCCTCTCTTAGTCTACCTTTGTACCCTATCTCCAACTTCCCTATCTTCCAGGATCACCAATTAGTCTTTCTTTGCATCTTCCTACCCGGTTTACTCCCAATCTTCCTCTTCTCCCACCTTTCACCTCTCAGACCCATACTCCTTTCTTATTGTCTCTCTTATTTCATTGTTCTCCTTTTGTTTTTTACCTCAACTCTCGCATTTCCCTTCTTTGTTTCTCCCTCTCAAACATTTCTCTGTCTTTCCTTCTTTTATTCAATAAACATATTGAAGAGCCCCCTTATGCCTCTTTAACTTGCTTTTCTATAAAATGCAGACTTTAATGAACACTTTTTTATTCATTTTTCTTTTCCTACTTTTTGATTAATGGTGTGTTTTTTACAGGTGCTTTCTAGCTCTAAAATTCCATATTTCTCATCACGTAAGTATATCCAACATCCCTTCAAGCTCAACACCACTACCTCAGGTTAAACCACCATCACCTCTTTCCTGGACACTGCAATTGCCTCCAAACCAATCCCCCTGCTTCCCAGCTTGTCCTAAAGTCTAGTCTCTGAAAGTGACTTTTTTTTTTTAAACAAACTTAAATCTTATCACTTCCTGTTGGAAGTCCTTAATATCTATCTTCCAATGGCACTCTTTTGCTCCTGTTGTTACACTGGACTTGGCAGATACCATACCACGGCTTACCAGACTCTGTGCTTCAGCCACACTGGACTGCTCTGTTCCTGAAACATACTATGTTCCTTCCCACCAAAGGGCCTTTGCCCATTCTGATCTCTATGCCCGGGTGCTCTTCTTCTTTAACCCCCACCCACCTTCCTCTGCTCAGCTAACTGACTCATCCTTCAGCTACTAGGTCAAATGTCATTTCTCTTTGGAAGCCTGGCCTGACCACCCCACCCCAGACTGAGTCAGATCACCTGCTAAATGCTCTTACCACTACTTGCACTTTACTTTCGAAGCCCTTATCATAATTTGAAACTATTTACTTTATGTGGTTATTTATTCAATGTCAGTCTTCCACTGTACTATAAGTTCCAAGAGGACAGAGATGTGTTTGGGTTTTATCACCAATAAATATTTGATGAAGGAATGAATAAATTTGCAAATTAACAATATTTTCATCTACTTATTCAATGAAAATTTTCTGAGTGCTTATATAATGTACTAGGCATCATGTTTGACACTGGGGATACAGCTGTAAACAAGACAGATAAGGACACTGTGCTCATGTAACTTAGATTCTAGGGAAAGGAAACAGTCAATAAAAACATAAACAAAATGCTACATGTTATGAAGGCAATAAAACAGGGTAATGTGATGAGGAAGACCCTGTGTCCCTTGCCCCTTTGGGACTTATAGTATTAATTTAAAGCAAGATCTCTTAACCTCACACTATTAAATTTGGGGCCAGATAATTCTTTGATATGGGCGATGGTCTTGTGCATGATAGGATATTTAGCATCCTTGATTTTACTGATTAGATGCCAGTAGAACCCTCCCCCAAAGCCCAGTGTGACAATCAAAAGTTGGGTACAAGGAGCAAGTAGATGGATGGTTGAAATTATCCAGGGCTGGTTGCTTAAAAGAGAAAAAGGATTTTAAGGTATTTGCATGAGAGAGTTTTATGTGTTAGATCATGGATATAAATGGGATAATAAGAAAGTAAACATAAAAAAGAGTTGGTGGATAGTGAAAAACTATTAGAATCCATGAATGAACGAAATACATGAGTAAATAATGAGTAAATGAGCTGGATGGCTAGGAGATGATCATCAGAGATGGAAGACTTGAGTTCAGTAAATTGGAGGAGGTTGTTTTTTGGAGCTGACAAAGCCTAGGGATTGGATGAAGATTAAAATCATTGGAAATAAGACTGAGGACTGAGAGGCTACAATTAGATAGAGTACCTGATTGATTTTGAAATCACCAACAATGATGATAGGGACATAGGTGTAAAGAGGAAGATGATGAGCCAGGTACTAAAGTACTCAGTGAATGTAGGTGAACGAGCAGGCTGGAAGACCCTAGCAACAATTAGAAATAGTGAGTTATACATTTCCAGACACAAACTTCAAAAGAGCAGAGGATTTTGAAGGACAAAGGAAGAATAATGGTCTAGAAGCAGCAATACAATTGAGTGATACTGCCAGGTACAGACCCTAAGGTATAAGAAATAAGACCCAAAATAAGCCTCTGTTAAGAGAGCTGCCAAGGAAATGTGTCCTCAAAGACAGCAAGGTTTCAGTAAAGTCTAGGTTTCAGTCTAGGAAAGGAATGTTCAGTGAAGAGGCTGGGCATATAAGGATGATGGTAGATGTTGAGTCCAGAGGTCACAAAGGAAGAGTTTGAAAGATCATATCTGGTTGGTAGATTGGGTAGACTGGGTCAGATTAGGGGTTATACGACACAGAATGGGGATGATGAGTGATATGATGAGGTAAGCAACCTGGTATGGGAACTCAACCAACTCGTTTGTTTCTATGGGAAAGTGTTTTCTGAGTTCTGAAAAATTGATAAATAAATGAACTTTGGAAACTTGCTATATTATTTTGTTCTTATGCATTATTACTCAAAAATAATTTTTATAATGATCACTGATTATTATTTTCCTGGTCAGACCAAGAAGTCATAGCCCCAAGGTAGACAAAATATTCCAAGTTCTAATTCCACCTCATTTAGAAATTTATTCTTGGGCCTCAATTGTCTCATCCGTAAAATAGGAGTGATAATATTTTGCTTGCTTAGGAAACAGGAGGCTGGGCCAGATGATCTCCTATGTTCAGCCTGAAATACATATTTGAGATACAGATCTGGTAAAGAAGTGAAAAAGTGACCAGCTCATTTTATGAGTCTAGTAATCTTGCCTCTGAAATCAGTTAAGGATAATATAAGAAATGTAGCCTAGGCCCATTTCATCTATAAATGTAGATGCAAAAATCCTCAATAAAATATTACTTAACCAAATGAAAAGTTGTATTTAAAGAGTAATACATCACAAAAAGGGACAGTTAATTCCAGGGATACAAGTATCTCGACATTAGAAAACCCATCCATGTAATTCACTACAGTAATAGACTAAAGAAAAAAGATTATATGGTTATCTCAATTAGTAATTTTTTAAAGCATTTAATAAGGTTCAGTACCTACTTATGATAACAACTCCTGTAAAACAATTAGAAAGGAAATTCTTATATTTAATGAAAAAATTTTATTTCTTTTATGATGTGAAAAAGAACAAAGATGTTCACTGTTACCCCTTTTGTTTGAGATTCCCATCAGCAGACCTGGAGGTCATGATCAATACTACAAGTATAAGAAATAACTAGTGCAAAGATTGAAAGGGACAACACAAAACTGATTTGCAGATGATACATCTACTTGGAAGTGAACAAAATCAACAGAAAGACGATTAAATGCAGCAAAAATGTTCAGCAAGGTTGCTGTATACAAGAACAACCTACAAAAAAAATTCACTATTATTGTACTATACCAGTAATAACTAATTAGGAAATGTAATAAAAAATATCATTCAATTTGCATCAGTAACAAAAATTATGAAGCATCTAGGAATTAACCAAGTATTCATAAAACCTCAGTGAAAAAAACATTTAATTCTAATAAAGGACATAGATGATGACCTGAATAAATAGTCCACACTCTTAAATGGGGTGACTTAACATTACAAAGATATTAGTTGTCCATAGAAAAATTTATAATTTGATATCAATAAAAATTCATTTATTAAAAGACCTCAGTAAGTTAACCTGCACATTTGTGTGGAACAATAAAAGACCACAAATGGTAAGTTGCCATTGAAAAGGAAGAGTAACAAGAGAGGTCTTGCCTTTCTAGAAATTTAAACCTGCTACAAAGCATCAGGAAAAACAGCAACTTGTAGTATTAGTTGTAGTTGTAATAACAGTGCAGTATTAGTGCAAGAACAGACAGATACACCAATGGAGCAGAATATGAGATCAGAGACAGATATTTGTATATATCAGAATTTGATAAATGTGGTAAATGTGGCTTAATAAAACAAAAATAAATTGGATCCCTAACACCTAAAACAAGGATGTCCTCCAGATGGATTAAAAAGACCTAAATATGAAGAGTAAAACTGTAAAGTTATTAGAAGAAAATAAAAATATTTTTGTGGTGCAGAGATGGAAAAGAACATATGCAAATTTTCTAAATCACACTCATAAGGGAAAAATGTCATTTTGATTACTCCAAAATTAAGAACTTCTATTTGATAAAGTTCACCAAAGAAGATTTAATAGGCAAATGATAGAATGAGAGAAAATATTTACAATGTCCAAATCTGACAAAGAATAGATATAATTTTTTAAGTGTTGCAAATCGACAAGAAAAATACTTCAGGAGAAAACAGGCAGAAACTATGAGGAGGGAATTTACAAAAGAATAAAGCCGAAGTGCTAACAAGTATTTAAAAGAATGCTCCAAACCATGAGTAATCAGACAGAACTGCAGTAAGATATCACCTTTCACACATTGAACTGACAAATATTAGAAATCCAAATCAATTCTCAAGTATTTGATTAAAATCTCATATAGTCCACCCTGGATTTTAAAAGATTGACCATCTTGAAATATTGCCATCTGCGACAACATGGGTGGATCTTGAGACTATCATGCTAAGTGAAATAAGTCATGAAGGATAAGAACCATATGTTTTCAGTTATACGTGGGATATAAAACAAAAAGCAACAAATGAACAAATAAAACAAATGAACAAACTAATAGGTACAGACAACAGGATGGTGGTTACCAAAGGGAAGGGGGAGTAGGGGGAAGACTGAGAAGATAAAGGGAGTCAAATATATGGTGATAGAAAGAGACTAGACTTTGGGTGGTGAGCACACAGTGGAGTACACAGATGTCATATTACAGAGTTGTACACTTGAAATTTATATAATGTCTTAACCAATGCTACCCCAACAAATTTAATTTAAAATTTTTTTAAAAAACTGACCATCTTAAAATGTTGGTGAGGGTGTGGAGGAATTAGAACACTCATATATACCTGCTGATGAAAATCTAAAATGGTACAACCACCTTGGAAAATAGTTTAGCAGTTTCATAAAAAGTGATACATACACCTATCATATAATCCAGCCATTCTATTCCTAGGTATCTTCGAAAAGAAATGAAAGTATATGTCCATACGAAGAGGTGTACCTGAATGTTCCTTTCAACTTTATTTGTAATAGCCTAATGTTGGAAATAATCCAAATGTCCATCAACGGGTGAATGGATAATCAGACTGATTGCTATTGGTAATCAAATCAGTAATATTCAATAATAAAAAAGGCATAAATTCTTGATACATACAACATAGATGAATCTCAAAGTAATTGTTCAGTGAAAGAAGCCAGAAAGAAAATCAGTATATTCTGTATGATTCCATTTACGGAAAAATTCTAGAAAATGCAAACTAGTCTTTAAAAAGAGAAAGTAGATCAATGGTTAACTCAGGATAAGGAAGGGCTGAAGGGAGGGATTACAAAGAGGTACAAGAAAACTTTGGAGTATGATGCATATATTCATTATCTTGACTATTGGGATGGTTTCACAGGTGTATACTTACGTCAAAACTTAAATCATACACTTTATGTACAGTTTATTGTTTGGCAATTATGTCTCGAGAAAGCTGTTTTTTAAAAACAAACAAACAAACAAACAAACGAAAAACCTATTCTTCAGCACCTACTTTATAAAAATAAAACTATTTTGAACCCCGCCGGTCACACAGTTCCTAATAGGAAAAAAAAAACTTATTCAGTTCAATCTATTCTAAGCACTCTGTGAGTATTACACTGTTCAGCATCATTAAAACCCTAAGATGTAGATACTATTATAATCTCCCTTCTCATTTTACAGATGCAGCAAATAAGGCATAAAGAGCTTAGGTAACTTTCCCAAGGGCACAGAATTATTAAGTATCAGAGCTGGGGCTCAAACTCAGGCATTTTGGGCCCAGAGTCCATACTTTTAACTATGCTGCCTCTGGGTGGATGATGACTGAAGAGAATGTGGTTGTAGTAGAACCCTTCCACATCACTGATGAAAGTGGAGACCTAACAGCAAGAGGGTAGTACTTAGTCATATTAGGTGTAAGTATATCCTATGAGTCAGCAATTCCACTTGTGGTGATAGATATAAATAAAGACAGACATAGGCAGAGGCAGAGATATATCTCCCGAAAATATTTTCATAGGAGTCCATAATGAACCTTGTATAAAAATGTTCATTGCTAGTCTATGGCCATGCCACCCTGAACGTGCCCGATTTCGTCTGATCTCAGAAGCTAAGCAGGGTCGGATGGGAGACTACCTAGGAATACCAGGTGCTGTAGGCATGTAAAAAATAAATGTTCATTGCTACATTATTTGCTGTGGTTGGGAACTGGAGATAACATGGGTGTTCATCAATGGGATTGTGAGCAAGTAAAATGTGGTATGACTGGTACTGTGGAGTACTAAGCAACAACAAATTTGATAATCACAGAATGTGAGTGAGTTTTTAAAACAATGCTTACTGAAAATAAGTAAGATCAGAATGGAAAACATAACAAGATGCTATTTACACAATTTAAAATGTTTGCACACCAAACAATTTATATTTTGCAAGAGCACAAACAAAAAATGAGCATTAAAGGCATTGGAATGGTAGCTTTTTGAAGGAGGACAAATGAGAAATGGGTATGGAAATAAAAGAGAATAGTTTTAAACACAAAAATAAAATGACATAGATCAATGAAGACAATGTACCAAAAACTGTCGTTAATTCAACCCTCTGCACCTGAGACCCTAATTTATAGACAAAATGCAGTAAAAGGACAAAGGGAGGAGATATTGCTGGAGTTCAGAAGTCAATGTTTTCCTCCAGAAGCTGGAAGTAAAGAGGGCTTGCAGAGTAGGAGCTGGGAGCAAAGGGTGGGTGGTGGGTAGAGGTAAGGGAATATCCTGGCTTTCTCCTGCCCTCCAATCTCTTACCTACTGTGAGCTGAACCCAGCCAGAAGGCAGTGAACACAGGAGCTTGGGCAACAAAAGCCTGCAGAGTTTAGCTCCCTGTGATATAGGGCAGAGTTTAAGACAGGCTAGAATTGGTTCTGAGATCACAAGGGCCAAGGATTACTATGCAAAATCAACACACATGCACACACACATGCACACACTCCAATGCAAAGTTCCCACTTATTGTCTTTCTCTCTTTCCTTGTCAATCCTCTATCAATCAGCATCTTTCCTCTACTTTCCATGCCATTTTTCTTTCTCCCTCCCAACTCTATTTCTCTTTTGCCTCCTCTTCTACTTTCCCACCACTTTTCCACTCTCTTTAAACTACTCTGTCTCCTATATTTAGCTCTGACTTTTTTTTCCTGACTCTGCTTCCCTGAGATTTAAATTCTTAGAAGGGTTCCTGAGAAACATCAGAAACAAACCATCTGAATAAGAAGAG